GAGATGAGAGAACATATTATCAACACAATTAAATGGAAAATAAATCCATTGTGCTATTTAGAGGAGACAAAGAAAGAAAACATTTGGATTCATAAAGCAATTCTTAACCATTATAATTTGCTACCTGAGGTTTTAGCTGCCTGAAGTTTAGAAATGGTCATTTAAATCAACTGACAATATTGAATCTGCCCTGGTGCCAGGAATGAAACCTTCTAATAGTCACTTTTTTCCTTTTACAATTCTTTTATAATGTCTTATTTTTGGATCAGTGACATTTTCTTAACTGATTTCAGTCAGAAACCATTTTGAAAATGACACTGTATTTTCAAACAAGTGTTGGTCTCAGCTTAGAGAAAAGATGGCTTTGCTCATAAGATGATGGCCTCATACACTTTGTCCTTACTGTCCTCCTGTTATTGTAATGCTCCTGCACTGACAAATCCCAGCTGGGTGGCTCCCAGGCTTTAAGACGTGGAGGATTTAATGCCCAGCCTGTGGGGAATGCTGGGCATGTGGTGCAGTGCTGAGCACACGGGATGAGGTCAGCACGCTGTGGGCGTTGTGAGCATCACCTGGGCCTTTGTGCATCCCGATCCACTTTGTTCCACCTGGGGCTGTCCCCTGCCCCTCTGAGGACAGCAGTCCTGGGCACCGGGCTGCTCCCCCTGCAGGGAGCACACAGGGACCCCTCCCTGCATGCCAAGGCTGTGGCCACATCCTTGCGTGGGACACGTCAGGAAAATGCCCTGTGACACAAACCTCAGGGCACTGACCTCGAGCTGTAATAGAGGAAGATCAAGTGCCTTATCGTAGGTGATATAAATTATTTATAGTGTGGGTTGCTGTGAATGACTGTAGCCCTGGAAAGGGGTTTTAACCCTTTAAGTGCAGCAGAAATAAGATGCACAGCTACATGGTCGTCCTTCATGACAGGAAGAAAGAACCAAGTTTATTCAGAAACACACTTGGTTTTATAGCATGACTGCAACTCCCAGAGTAGAGAAAAGGTGATTGGTTCAGAGAGAAGACACCCCATTGCCAGGGCCTGGGCACACACCACAACAGGTGTTCTATCTTGTTATTAATTCCTTTTTATTGTGACCAAATTATCACCCTGGGAGAAATTCTCCCTGGCCTTGAGCTGGACCAGCTCATCGGCTGGGAACAGAGCTGAGAAGCTCCAGCCTGGAATATTTTTCAGGCTGTAACTTTCTTACTTTCTCAATATATGTCCCACAAATGACTAATAAATTATAGGAAGGGAGGCACGTTTAAAAAAGACAAACAACCCACAGCATGGGTATCTTTATGTCCTCACTAAATATATTTGAATTCATGCAAGCCTTGTACTGATTCTAGCTTCCACCCAGCTAGAAAAATGCAAGGAAAAGCGAGACAATAAATGCTTCCAGAGAAGATCTTTTGTGAGAAAGACAAAACCTTTTTCTTTTTTTTCTACTTTTGGAGTTAATATCAGCGTGCTACAACTTAATATGCATTAAGAGGGAAAAGACTTTTTTGTATAAATCTTACTGCTGATTATCCAGCGTTTTTTGCTCATTTGAGCTTAACTGGCTGTGTAGTGCTCTGCTTTTTTAGTTCCTGAAACTTCACATACAAATCTGTGTATAGATCTCTTCCATCATCTTTAGCAAATGCAAACCAAAGAGAAGGAGTTTGCTTTAACTTGATTTTATAGAATACTTTGAATTTGTAAGCATTGTTGAGAAGCACTGAAATATTTTTTAACCATTCCTGCCTTTTCCATTTTAAAGATAAAATGAAAAAATCCCATCTTATTTAAAACTTTAAAGAATTCCCAAAAGGATGCGTATTAATATTTAAAATATCCTAATAAGCACTGTATATAATCAAAATTATGGAATTTTTCAATAATGGGAATTTTGTTTTTCTTTTCTAGTTTATAAACATAGAGTTTCATGTAGCCTGCAATGGACAGCATGGTAAAACCTTTTTGTTGTGGTGGTTAAATAAATGCAGTGTGGTATTACTATGTTTTTGGAAACCTAAAATCTGACTCACATATCCTGAAGCAGAATCAGTAGCTCAAATAAGACAGGACAAAACACTTTTGAATTCTATTATTTTGAAGACACTGCATAGAGATAGGAAAATATCAGAGATTTGAGAGCTATGTTAATCTGTGCATAAACACTGACTTGAACCAGTCTAATATTTTGTAGTTGTCCTTTTGTCTCAGAGTAAGCAACTTCAAGTATTCATTGATCATGTTAAATCTGAAGGTTTTTCCTTTAGAATCTGTTATTTTATGGAAGCCTGTAGAATGGTTGCTTCAGTTAGTTCTAAGGTAACATTTTTCCAGCCTTTAGCAGGGAGAAGATAAACAATCCCCCCAGCCAGAACACCAGCTACTCATCTCAGCATTAGAGATTTCTTATTTTAAAGCAAGTATCCGAAACAGTGTAAAAGGATCAATAATTTCGTGATATGAAAATATTTGAAGAGAGATGATCTGGTGCAAAAGAATTGCTTTGCACTCCCGAAGAGCATGGATATTTTCCATTATTTGTGAAATTTCCACACCACTGGCCACACGAAGCTTATACAGCCATAGTTTTTACATTTGGGGATGTATTTTCAAGATTCATCTCCAAGATAAGAGCTTGCAAATCATTTGATATTTTATTTCGCTTTTGCTTTATTGTTCTTTTCCCAATACCAGTCTCTAAGTTCTAAACTGTAGCATTTGTTTGTAATGTACTTTTCTTCCCCCCAATATAATTTAAGGTGTGGTGTTGATGCCACTGATTTGACTGCTGTTATTGCTCATGGACACCAACTGGAGAAAGCTAAGGCACTCACTGGATCCTGAGAATTCCTTAAGTAAAAGTCCCATCAAAATCATTCTCTAGGAATCAGTAAGAGGAAAGTTGAGGTGTGGGTTTTTTTTGTTTGTTTCCTTGTTTGGGCTTTTTGTTTGATTGATTTTTTTTTAAGAGCTCAGACCCTTAACAGAATCAGGAGGAATGAAAAGCATTTGGTGCTTGAAATTTGAGTTGCATTTCATGTGAGCTCCTGTTTACTGTTTCATTATGGCTGAATTGCCTCTGCCTGCAGTCAAGGGATGCCCTTTGGCTCAATGTCCCTCAGAGCCTGGGAGTCACACCTGAGTGCCACTGGAGCACATTTGTGTGTCTGCATGTTTCAGGCAGTTCACCTATTCTAATAACAAATGCAGAATACTTCAACTGCCCGGCAAACCAGAATCCCAAATGCCATAAAAAGCTCTGAAATTGCATCCATCACTTCTCATTTTTCAACATCGACAAGATTTTGGCCTTCATCTATTACATAAACTCACCAATTTCTCCTCTGGCTGTACAGTCATTACAAGATAAAGAGATTTGAGATCCCTGTTTTCCATTTCACCTTTTCCTGACACATCCCCAGTTTAATCTTCCTGTTGCTTAGTTATTGCAAAAATGGGCAAAACCAACTACTGTGAAGATAAGTATGCTTTCTTCTGAAAGAAGATCTATTGCAACATAGAAATGAACTCAAAGCTCCCAGATTAGTGCTGGAATATAAAATAATTCAGCTTTAGAAGGATCAGTCTTCCCACATCCACAGTTTCCTAACGGTCGAACAAAGAAGCAAGAAAGGAAAAGGATGAACTTCAATTTGTTATAAATGTATTTGTATGCTTTTACCAGACAGCCAGTGAAGAAAATAATTTGTTAAATGCTCACGTTTACCTGTGGCAGAGCCCCCTCCATTGTCTTGTCGGGTTTTGCTTCTTTCTTCACAAATGGAGGAAGTTGAATCTCATTGATGTCAGGGGGTTTTACAGATGACAAGGCATGAAAGAGTTTAGGGTTATAGCTGTGGATTTTGTTTGGTTTTGTAATTTATTTATTTATTTTTTTAAAATTTGGTTTCAATTTAACTGTCAACTCTCCATTTTTGAAGTGATTTCTGTTAACTCACCAGGTATTTTCCTCAGAACTGGGTACACACAGCTAAATAATAGGTATAGAAATTACCTTGCATCTGAGTTTGCTGCAAATGGGGTAGATGTTCTTTGGTGCAGTGCTCCCTCTTGCCTGGGGGAGTACATTCCTCAAACTGAAATGCATTTAGCAGTCACCATTCTATTCCTTATGTAGGAGTTCCAGTGACATAACATTCAGATTGTGCCTTCAGGAAGAAACCTCAATTTATAAGCAGAGCAAAGCTAAGCCTCTTGCATTTCTCCCTTCCTTTTTATTTTGTGTCTTCATCCTTTCCAGTCCATAGGAGATGGATGGTCAGAGGGGTGTAAATGGAGAGGGTTCAGCAATAAGACAATCTGCTGATAGGGTGTAGCCTCTCCTTAAAGTGGTTTTTTCTTTGTGACCTTTCTGTGTGCTTCAAGACCAGATATCCAAATGTTCAACAGCTGGATTTGAATGACAGGTTTTTCTAGAAAAACTCCAGATCCCCTGGTTAAACTGTAAAGAAGTGCAGAGTTTATCAGTTATTAAAATGTAAGATGTTTGTTTTCTCTACAATGCTCAGAACACAGAAGTAATTGTAGGTATTGTTCCAAAAATACAAAGAGAGAAGGTGACCAAGAGTCGAGTGTTCTCACCCACCATTCTCCTTTGCGTCTTTTCAAGTTGGGTTCCTCTGGATGCTCTTTCTCTTGCATCAGGGCTTTGCAACTGAAAGTAATTCCTTCAAAAGTGTCTGAACCTAATTAGGCTGACAGTTGAGAGCACATTAAACATATTTTGAAAATTGCCTTTTTATTTTAGTGTCTTAATTGGAGGGATGTCTGCAAGTGTTGGCTTTCTCGTCAGTGCAGTACAAGGTGGATGTAATTTTTCTTTTATATTTGAATGTTTACTGTGGGGATTTTGTTTGTGGCTTTTGAGTAATGCCATTAATATTGGAAGTATGTTAAATACTTTCTCTTTATAGATAAAATGAGCTGAATGGATATGAAATACAAACCAAATTAATTAGGCATGGTTTTTTCTTCTCTAGTGAACAAACACAAACCCTGGATTGAGACGTCGTACCATGGAATCATAACTGAAAACAACGACACTGTGATTTTGGACCCTCCCCTGGTTGCTTTGGATAAAGATGCACCTGTTCCCTTTGCAGGTAGGAATGTACATGAGCAGCAGCCTTTGAGCCTGTGGACTGCATTTTGTATTTGTTGGCATTTGTAAGGAAGGAATTTCCAGTGTGGTTTGAAGGAAGTGTAAAGGTTGTGTCTGAGTACTCAGGACCTGACTGTTGGCCCACAGATCCTGAAATGAAGTGTTTCCTACACTGGATTTGTTGTGAGGCAGAACAGAATAAAGAGAATAATCCAGCAGGCACCCACTATCAATATATTTTTAATGAAAACATAATAATTATACAATTACACTTGGATTTGCTTTTATAGAAATGAATCACTGCAATTGCCTAAAGTTATAATACATAATTAATTTTGTTCAGCAGTAACAGCTTTCCCCTGCTTTCTCTCTTTCCGTTCTGCTCCCTGGCTATGGACAAAATGTGTTACAAATCTTTAAAGTTGCACAAATCATATCTTACTGTGTAAGTACTTTATAACTGTCAAGAGTGGGACACAGAATTGAATGGAGGCTTTGAACATTTTTGCTCAGGTTGCTGTATGATAGATGTATGTCATATACAAGTTTGCATTTGTATTAGGTCTGTTTTACCTGACACCTTTTCTGTCCTGAGTCCCTTAAGCAGAATATGGGACTTCTGCATGTCGAGCAGCTTACTCTTAAATTCCCTCTTTCATTAAAAATACTTTTTGAAGAAAAGGGAGAATAGTAAATCTTGATAGCTGCTCTGAAGATCCTAAGATGGTGCAGTGGTTGGTGCAGTCTTTTTATGGTATTGCCTAAGAATCTTCACCTTTTCTAAGGAAAGGAGCTGGTAAAGGTGAGTGTCCTGTTCTCAGGGAGTTCTCATGTTCAGGAAGCAGAAGTCAAGTGCTTGTCCCAAACAGCACTTTAGAGCATCCTGAAAGAATTTGTCTCAGTTACTTTTCCCAAAAGCTTACACTGGCATCAGCTCCTACCCTGCCAAGCCGGGGCTCCCAAATGGTTTTTATATATTGACCCCCATTTTAATATCAAGATTTGTTTGTCACTCATGGTGCCCAGTGATTCTTGGCTGCATGAAGATCGGTTCCTCATGAAAATATGCCCTTGTAATTTTTTTTCCTTTTTCAATGTTTCTATCACTGTGGGTGTTCCATCTTAGATTTGGTTCTTTTGCTTGCATTCCCTTAGGATCCTTCCAGGGATGTTCATCACGTGCTGTTGTCACTGACACTGCAGTCTCTGCTGACTGGGAATTTGTTAGCCTAATTATTTTCTTCAGCTTTTACATTGAGAGAATCAACACGTTTTCCATTAAATAGTGATTTACTTTTCATGTAGAAAATCATTCTTTGAAATACTGAACTGACACAGACAGACTGGCTTTTGTGATAAAGGTTATGTTAGACAGTCGTTTTAATTTAGCTTCTCCATTTATTGATTGGAAATATTTGTACTGTGAGAAGTATCTACTTCTTACAAGGGTAAATTATTTCTGTGTATTCCCTGATATTAATAGTTCAATTCCTGATAATATTTGGCCTCATGATCTGCAGTCCAGGCATAATATTATAGCACTAATTGAACCCTTCATTCCCTTGAAGGGCCTGCATTCCCTATGTTTTTGGAAAAAACCTCTATACACTTTTTAAAAAAATTCCTATGTTTTAAAATTTTTGGAGGAACTTACTATTTCTGTTGTATTTTTTGCTTTAATATCATGTACTTTTATTTGGTTTCATGATATCATTAATTTATTAAAGGTTTTCATGGAAAATTCAATGTGCATCATATATTTAGTAGGAGAAAACTGAAACAGATAAAAGTACAACATTAACAATATGCAGTAGCTGTACATTTAATAGTGTGGTAATGTGGGATATCTTTTATGGCCGTATTTTGTTTAAATGTGGAAATTCTGATTGTATAATATATCAGTCTTCAGTTGTAACAGAGAATCAGAGTTCCAACAGTTCCTTTATCATCAGCCTGTTAATATTTTCAGTATTTTGTGCAACTATTGGAGAAGAAAAGAACTCTACTACTTGGAAAGTTCTCCATGTTTGGTCGTTTGGTCATTTTTAAAATGGACCTAGATTCAACAATATTTCAGGGCAGATTCTGATCTGTGCTGAAATGTCTGCTGAGATCTCCTTGAGCAAACTGTAGTAAGATTAAATTTCTGTGATTTCTTCCTCTGCAACAACCCCTGCAATAGTTTACAGGCAAATTGTTTGTTCTTCCATCAAGATTTGTGTTACTTTAGAGAATTTTTTTTTTTTATTTTCAGTAGAACTAGTGTGCATTAAAAACACATACACAAAACCTACTGACAAAAGAGCCCCTCCAACAAACCAAAACAAAACCCAAAGCCCAAAGCAAACGAAGAAGACACATGTGGCAGATGGGCAGGAGGTCTGCAGGGCCAGAACTGAAGCAGGGCACAGGCACAGTGCCAGCTCCACTCCAGGCTGATGTACAGGGCACACCTGTGCCCAGGTGTTCTGCCAGCTGGGAAATCTTCCTGCTGTTCTTAATGCCTTCCCTTTGAAGTGCCTGTCTTCCATCAGTGACAGGGTTAGGGAAATTCCAGGATTTATCACTGTGACAGGTCATGGTCACATGGTATTTATTTAATACATTTATCTACTAACTTACTTATTCCATATTTATATGTTGCTAGTGGGGGTGTAGTTCCTTTGGACACGTGCTTAACTTAGTCCTTGTGTTTGCACCTTACCCCTTGCTGCTTGCCCTGGTGCACAGGTAGTTCATGCATTTCGTATTTTTCACCAGGTAACTGCTTTGTTACTAAGCAGAACTAAGCTGTTAAGAGGCATTTGCTATTCAGTGATTCTTGTCTGCCCTTAGTGCTTTGATACATTTTGTGTACCCATTCCCATGATCTCATTTTTTTTTAGTTTAAATGTGGCACAGGCCTACTCCAAGCTGCAGACAGTGTTTTGGTTTTCACTTATGGAAACTTTAACGTTTTTCCTAATACCTCTGCCTTTTTTCATCCCCATGGCTACTAAGGCAAGTTGTCAACCCCTTCTAGAAGTGCACACATTATGGTGCACATCAAACCTGAGTGGTCACAGGAGAAAATTTATATAATCTGCACTTTTTTTTTGCCTCTATCTAATGTTTGGCCTCAAGGGTGATGACTGGAGAAAAAGTCTTCTGTGCAGTTGCCTTCCCAACAGGTCTGTATTTCCAGGAAGAACTAAAGAGAGACTAACAGGACTAAATGTGCCTGTGAAAATGCTGGCTGTCAAATGTGATCAACATTTTTCATAACTGGAGCATGAAGACTTTCACAAGATTGCAATGAATGGCTTTTGGTGTCTCTTTATCTAATGAATTTATTGTGAATAATTGAAGTATACGTAAAGTCCTGGTTCTTAAAATTATCGTGTTATAAGCATACCTCATTCTCTCTTTTTATGCAATTGTATTTTTTGTCTCCTTGTTTTGAAGGAAAGCTTGACAATACCAGTATAACCTTGTAAGTGTGAGAAGGTTCAGGATCAGCAGTTTTCCATATTTCAGTTTTTCAGGTGCTGTCCCAAAAAGGAGTTTCACAGACTGGTGTTGAAATGCAACAGACCTTTAAAATAACTAAACTCACCATGGCATCCTGGAGCCTTTTACAGGGTATCAGAGACATTCCCTGACCCTCCTTTCCTCCCCTTAGCCAAAAAATACCCCCAAAAATAAACCCCTACAAAACCCACTTTGTATAGCTGCAAAGTGGACTTAAGTGATTTAAGGACATCCATAGGAGCAATCTCTATTTTAAAAGATCTGATAAAATGTACCCAAAAGAAGGAATGTAAGTTTTATTCAGTTTACACCGATTGGCACAGCCATGCAAACAGTCAGCTCCCTTTGTGGTGGGGAGGCTGGTAACCACTTCCAGGATTTGACTCTCAGGTTTAGGGGTAGTTTGGCTAGAAACAAGGTGGGATCTACTCAATCAATTTGTCAGGATTTTGTCCCTCACCAAATGCTGTGAAATTGTGGAAGGATTTTGGAAGAGACATCTATCTGCATTCCAATAACAGCAACTATGTTTCATCAGCAATGCTGTGCAAAAATAGATCTGAAAGGAACTTCAGGATGTCATCAGTCCCTGCTCCTGCCCAAGGCAGGACCCTTGTCATTCCTGAGAAATTATTTTCTTACCTAACTGTACAGATCTGTAGTGGCAGGGATGCAACAGCTTCCCTGGGCAGTCTATTGCACACTTCACCATGTTCCTGGTTTTTCATGAAGCTTGGTCTGAACTTTCTGTACAGTGCTTTTAGCCCATTAGTATTAGTCCTATTCCACAAGGCAGGGCAGATTATTCCCACTTTTATCTTTCTGCCTCAAAGCGCTGCAAGCATCCTAAACAGCCTAGTGTGGAGGGGGTTTCTGCTGTTTGTGGTGTTCTCTGAAGCAGAAAAACAGGAGGTGATGTTCAAGGCAGCGAGGTGATGGATGTCCCTTGTCACCCTGGAAGAGAAGAGCCAAACTTGTCACTGTGCCCCCACTTCTGGGCTGATAAAGTCACATTTGAGTGCCTTGTGTCCCAGCGAGGCTGAGCTGGGTGATTGTACCAGGGTGTACCACTACATCTTTAGCTACTTTTATGCTCTTGATAAATTATAGAGAGCCTTTCTTAGCAAGGTCAGAGGTCTGGCTCCCCCCAGACAAGTAATCTGTGTCTCAGGAGCAGTTCCAGTTCATGCCTCCTGGGCAGATGGAGTCCCAGTCTCTGACTGTATTTTGGCTGTGCTGAAAGCACTGTAAATAATAAAGAGACAATAAAACCAGCCAGGAAGGATGCCTGAATATTCACTAAACTACAAGCTGCAACCACAAACTCTCCAAATCTGCTTTTTTTATTTTAGCAGTTCAGAGGAGTGTGCACCACAACAAATCCAGCACTTGTCAGCCCACTTACACCCTGGGCTGAACACAAAATCCCATTTCTCTGCTTCAGACTGTGAAGCTGTCCAGCCTCCTTGTTTGTTTGTTTGTATTGATAAG